AAAAAATGTTTGATTAATAGGGGTCGTATACTAAACTTATTGCAGTATTCCACTGTATTGCTTAGATAGGTATAACATTTGAGTACTGAATAAGCCTTCCTGATCTCACACACACTTTACTGTAGTTACAAACACAAAATTTTACTGTTTGCTTTTCTAGTACAACCCTCTTTCTTTAGCTCAAGTATGCAAACCTCTTTGCACATGCACTGTAATATGTATTATATTGAAAGTTAAATTTTCAAATGAAAATGGCAACGTGATCGTTTCATAAAGTATGCGGTTTCATTTTTGCTGGAGGAAACAGCTGTAGTGTGATGAGGAAACGCAGCGAAATTTTACAGTAGATGGGGAACCGATTGCTCCCCCATGATATTTTGTAAACTGTCTTTATGACAAAGAACTGCACAGATGCAGATATTATAACAATCTATCGATAAACACACACCTTGTCCTGTTTCTCGCTCTGCGCCTCTGCGGAATGAAGAACGCGCTGAAAGACAGGGAGGAGCCGAAGTCTGCCGCTGTTTTCATATGAAATTTAAAGGGGACTGAGGCGATCACGAATTCATGTACAGTTTATGGAGCTGATCGCAACATTTTTAGGGGGGCTGAGTGATCATTTTAGGGGGGCTATAGCCCCCTAAAAATGGCCTAGCGACGCCCATGCTGACTGGTCTATCATCTACATCTTAAAATCACTTTAAAATAGATTATATATTATTGAATCTAATCTAATCTCATTCAAAGTATGAACATGTAATTGTTTTAAACCTTTAAGGACATATTAGTGTAAGGGAATGTAACGACCCATACAATGTATTTTTGGCTATTGCTACAAATATACCCCAGCGACTTAAGACTGGTTTTGTGCTCCAGGGTCACAAATGAAATGGATACAGCAGCACTGTATGACTCAAACTTGGTCCACATCAGTGGAATGAAATTCAAATAAATTTATTGTTTGTGCATTTTTCCATTTTCAATATTTATTTCACAAGTGTACACAACAGTACTAATACTTAATATATGAGACTTTCTAGTGTACAATTATCACTTGTCTGTTCTCGTATCCGACTCCGCCCATATGGCTACAAACCACGCCCCCACACGCCCGCCCACTATCACAAGTTATGCCCACTGTAAAGAAACGTAAACGCTTTTATTTTTTCGCTGCCTAGTGACAAGGCATATGAATCATATTCCATATATCACAGACAGTGGAACTCATGCTGTTTGGTTTCCCTACGTTTTTAAAACATTTTAACTATGATATTATACAGTAACTGTGTTTGTGTATTTAAAAAAAACTGTCTACATTAGTAGTGAGACATTTTGAATGACTCCTTTTTCATGTTACACTGACTGTCCTTATGAGTGAGTCATTGGATCAATTTACTCAACCGATTCTTTCAAACACTGATTGACTCAGGAACGTGATTATTGTGTTTCTCAAAGAGCAGCTTGCTTCTGCTTTGCTTTTGTTTGCAACAGATGAAGTAAGTAGCAGTTTTGTGTCTACAGTGTAAGTTACTCAATTAACGTGATGTTTATTTTATCAGCATTGTCCTGTTTTCCCACGCCATTATGCATGAAGCGAATCACAGCTGTGCTGACTGATATTCAGAAGCACGTTGTTTGTACGGTGACGCATTGCTGCCACACACATATTATTTTTTCCACTCAATTATGTCATAATAACGAGATGTTATGTCGTTTTAACGACATCTTTTCTAGTTAAAACTACATCTTTTCTCGTAATAACGAGATGTTTTCTCCTTAAAACGACATCAGTGGCGGCTCGTCACCGCGGTCAAGCCAGCCACAGTTCAGAAAAACACGGTCAAGCCAGCCGCGGTTGAAATTTGTGTACGCATGATTACGGTAATTGCAGGAACACACAGAGAGAACGCACTTTCAGAGCACTTTTCATTTAGACGCCCAGAAGTGAGATGTAATATAACAAGATTACATTTCTCGATTTCTTTTTTTG